CATCTTCTAATAGGGTTGACAATATATATATATATATATTTCTGTTATGACAACTCTCGGAGGGATTGGCTTGGTAATGTACATGACAATGTTAATGTATTTGGTTTTGGCGGAATAGATCTGCTACACTGTTGCTGCGGCAGAGCAAGTACCGAGACTTGTTACTGCCAATACATCCAAAACATGCTGCCGTGAGCATGTAAGAAATACTGCTGCTGCAAATATAACATACATGAAATAACCCCCATATAGCATACATGAATCACCTCGTAGCAGATCTATACAGGTGGAGCTGTGGAAGGTGGAGGGTTTCTGAAGCAAGCTGCACTGCTACGGCAAGCTCTAGTCATATATTTGAATGTTGAGCAGCGAGCTCATTGGCTACCAATACAGGAGAGAACCAATCAGTTGAGCCATGTGATAATGATGTCATTAGGTCAGATTGAGTTAGACCTATCGGACTGCGCCATCTAGAGTTTCATGCCAGTACTCTGTATTTATTTGATAAAGAAATCTTTTGTAACATTATAAATGTCTTTTATGTCACTTCTGATAAATCGAATGCATACTTGCAGAATAAAAAAAATGTACTTCTTTGAAAAAGAATCTTACTGAAATCAAACTTTTGAATGATAGTGCGTATGCTACATACTGAAATCTGACTAAATCTATATGCATTTAAAATGACAGTCACCTTGATGTGTGGGCTCTCTCTCTGTCCAACTGTGTAGTTTCGTGGCCGTCTTAAGGGTAAACACATAGGCGAAAGTTTGATGTCTTCATATGGGTTCTCTTTTGATATATCCGCTGCAAATGATTCGTTGAAAATGAGAAAGTTTTAGCTACCATAATAATAAGTCATGCAAAAAACATTTTAGTGTTCTCTACTCTAGCTTCAATACAAATAGGAATGTGCAAAACAACATGTTTTCAAAATCAACTAGTCGGCGAATAAGCTGCCTTTTTGTTTTCAAAAACAGCTATATGGTTTAATGCAGCTGTCTTGGGAAGCATTTTTAAAAGCCTAACTGGCATACCATCTCAAAAACAGAGGAAGACATAATGAAATGGGCAAGGACATCTGTCTGTGTAAGCATATTAATTAATGCAAGCAAAGCATGTTAAAAAATGCAACACTAAAAATATCAAAACTACAAACTGTATACTGCAGTTAAAAAGTTTGGGGTCGGTATGATTTTTGAATGTTTGTGAAGTGTCTTATGCGCAAGGCTGCATTATTTGATCAAAACTACAGTAAAAACTGTATTCTTTTTTTAATATATGGTAACACTTTAGGGTAACACTTTATTTTAAGGTGTCCGTGTTACACGTTACATGTACTTACTATTATAATAACAATTAATTATGCATAATTACATGCAAGTAACCCTAAGCCAAACCCAAATCCTAACCCTAACCATATAATAAGTACATGTAGTTAATTAATATTACTCAGTACTTATATGTATAATTACACTGTAACAAGGACACCTTAAAATAAAGTGTAACCCACTTTAGTATAGGGATCAATTCTCAATATTAACTAGTTGCTTATTAGCATGCCTATTATTAACATATTAGCTGTTTATTAGTACTTATAAAGCACATATTCTGCATGACCATATTCTACATCCCTAATCCTACTTAAAATCTAAACTTAACAACTACCTTACTAACTATTAATAAGCAGCAAATTAGGAGTTTATTGAGGCAAAAGTCGTAGTTAATGGTTTGTTAATAGCGAGAATTGTCCTTTAAAATAAAGTGTGACCGAATATATTTTAAAATATAATTTATTCCTGTGATGCAAAGCTGAATTTTCAGCAGTCATTACTCCAGTCTTCAGTGCCACACAATCTTTCAGAAATCTACTCTGAATAGAATTCTAATAGAATAATAGAATATAATTCTAATATGCTGATTTGCTGCTCTTTTTGTAACATTATAAAAGTCTTTACTATCACTTTTGACCAGTTTAATGCATCCTTACTGAATAAAAAAAAATCTTTTTGAACCCAAACATTTGATCGGTAGTGTATAAGAAAAAAATTATATATGAAGACGAGTTTTTCAGTCAGTGCAGACATATTTTCTACTGTGCTTCATAGAAATATCTGCTCGATGACATGAGTCTTGGCGTTCTCAGAATCACTCACAGATGACATCCTCATAGATGCTGTCTTCAGACCAAGCGTGGAAAAGACCCGAACGGCGGCCCTCCTTCCCTCTAGAGGCCTTTTGGGCTGTCATCCGTACCACATCCTCAAACTCAAATGACTTCCTGTGGAGAAAGGGACCAAGAGTGTGAACACTCCCTGTATTGTGATTTAACAACAGGTTTTGAGTCTTTCATAAAGGGTGACCATTAATCCAAAAAGGAATGTTCCAGAATTCATATCTAACAGTTAAAATAGACATGATATAGAGTTGATACATTATGACTGGAACAGACACTGGGTTTTAAATGATTAGGTAAAAAAAACAATTAGAGGAAGGAGGAAACACAACAGCGTGACCATAAGAGTGTTCAGAAAGCCCTTGAGTAACCTCAGCAGTCTTCGTTGAAACAGAAGTAGGCCAAACGTGGACAATGGACTGCGATTCTGCCAAAGAAAAGCTGACATCACAGCTGGGGATGAGGCCAGACAGCTAAACTATCACCCACTCACAGATAAACTCTCCACGCTGTCCTCTGACGCAAAGCTGTCCAACAAATAAATGTATGAAATAGATGAGTACGACAAGGAGATTTGTACATTTACTTAAGAAACTGTGAGTGGTGTTTATACAAGTTCACTCAAAAAAATCTGTCGTCATTTTCTCAACCTCGTGTCATTTCAAACCTGTATGACTTGCTTCCTTCTTTTGAACACAAAAGAAGATTTTTAATTTAATATTTTTTTTGCCCATGCCAAGTCAGTGGGGTCCAATGTTCTTCAAAATATCTTATTTTGCATTCCGCAGAAAAACAGAGACATGAAGGTGAGAAAATTATGACAAACTGTCTCTTTAAGGCTCTATGATATTCTGGCTCGGGTCCTTCAGAGTCTATGGGATTTTTTAAATCTTATCACTTTGAAAAGTAATAGCACACCTCTCCTCAACAATCCGCTATCAATCAAGGTAAGGTATGTCGATATGAGAACGTTTCAGGCCAACACCTATTGTTCTGAGGATATTTCATTTGTGACCAGGCTTAACAGGTTTTGAAAGCCAGCAAAACGCTATTTATAAAGGGTTATCAACCTGTTTTTTTGTACAATATAATTATATAAAGAAGTTGTTCGATCACATTATATTGCAAGTTTTTGGAATCTGCAGTTTTATTAACCCAATTATTTAATGACTCATTTGATGGCATGACATTACTAGAGATGCAGCAAAATGAAAATACGACACACTGTATCGAAGACCAAAAGTGAAATAATACTATTTTAAATTAGAAATTGAAAACAGAACTGAAAGAGTGGACAAGTACAATGGTGGAAATGGCATCATATGAATCTAAAAATTATGTTAAAGACTTCAACAATGAAAGATCAGAAATAATTGATTCATCTGTATTTTCTTTTTGTCTCCATTCCTCCTCTAAGAACTTATAATCCATATGACTGTTTTGTTGTGTACATGCCTGCTGCTACCAACATTAAAAACCTCAATGAAAGAAAGAATTTGTTTATAATAAGTAAACAAATTCTAAATATTGCGATATTTTGGATATAAGTGCTTATCTAAATATATTTAATGCAGCATCTGACAAGATCTAGAGTTTAAAGTACTTATAACTGTTGGACGCTGTAGTAAAACCTCCCTCTTTTCCTTTTCTTAAAGATGGGATTAACTGTGTAATGTGATCTGTACTGTGGGAAAAGTATTCACCTGTTCTTTCTGTTTCTGGAAAACCCGTTGATAGTGTTGACTGGACAAGGAGGAGGTGGACAGCTGGGTGGCTTTAATATGATGTCATGCTTCCGGACTTGATTCGATTTGCTGACTGACGGAGTCTGGTTCTCCAATTGGATCCACTGGCCGGGCGGACTGCTCGCACCCTTGTACTGGAATGTGCGCTGTGGTTTAGGTGGAGGAGAAGAAGGTCCAATTTCACCAAGACACTTAGTCACCATCGAGGAATCCTTCTCCCACAAAGATTCATCTGCCTCCAGTCGTTTCCAGAAACCCCTGGAGGTGTAAAAGTTCCCCGGAGGCAATGACGCCTCTGGATCATCTACACATTGAGGTAGAGATGTAATTTTGTCATCTGTGAAATTGTTTGTCTTGATATTATTGCTTTTAACATTCAGTTTAGCCACTTGGCCTTGGGTTACAGTGCTTAAAGGCTTAGTCACAGGAGTTGATGTTACAAATTTATTCGAATGAGTTCGATTTCTTAGGAAATCAGACGGGGTTTCTCCTGTAACCGGTCTAATAGTCATCTGGTTTTCCCTGAAATCTAAACCCAGGCTTTTGGCTTTTGATACAGTTGCTTTGTTATGACCTCCATCATTGCCGTCAAATCCATTTCCAAGGAGGTCCCCTGAAAGCCTACGAGATGCAAGAGTCCGCTGGGGCTTAATATTCCCACTTCGGACGTCCTCCTGCTGGCTGAGTCCCTCCCATTGGGAGATTTTCTGTTTAATATTGACGGCAAGTTCTCGTGTGATCGGCCATGCTGCCGTCGTCACCGTTTTCCCTCCTGGTCCTCCTGGGACTACATTCGCCCCTCTTTCTACATGGTCCACTCCATGGGCCAGCATGACGACCAGGCTGCCGTCACACTGCAGGACTGTGTGCCATTCCAACAGCAAGCCTATCAAGGAAGAAACCCTTCCTTCGTGGTGCAAAGAAGTTAATAAAGTTCACCGAAGAACCCTTTTCCTGTAGGATTCAGTTCCTCTGCCATTCTTCCTTCACTTTGGAATCTGCAAAGGAAAAAAACAGACTCAACAAGTGGGTTCAACTTTGTGCTGCAGAATATATATCGAAACAAAATCAACATCACAATATAGCTTTTTGCAATTTAATTAGATAAATACATGCTTTACTGGTTTCAAGCACAGCATTTATAAACATGTACTTCGAAACAGTGTTTCAGTGTCTACTCAAGCCGTTCTGAGCTCAATGGTTTACTGTTTTGTGATGGTTTACTGTTTACCAAAGAAATTAAAGGGGTCCTATTATGCTCTTTTACAAAGTCTTGATTTTGTTTTGGGGGTGTACTAGAACAGGCTCTCATACTAGGCTGTTCGAAAAAAAAAAAATTTT